ATGACATCAATCTCTTCTCCCTTGTCCAGGTGATAGGTCACCTGGTCATAGAAGGAAATGTGATTGGTCAAGCAAGACCTACCCACAACAAACCCTTGCTGGCTATCCCTTAGGATGTTGGCATCAGCCAGACCATTAAGGATGGCCTCTTTAATAAACTTTTCTAAGATCTTCCCTGGGATAAAAGTTAGGCTGATAGGCCTATAGTTAGCCGGATCCACTTTCCTCCCTTTCTTGAAGATCGGCCCCACATTGGCCTTCTTCCAGTCTTTGGGCACTATACTAGAGCACCAGGAGTTTTCAAAGATCTGTGCCAGGGGCTGGGCTATGATGCTCGTCAGCTCCTTGAGTACCCTGGGGTATAGATTGTCAGGGCCGGCTGACTTGAAGGTATCCAGCTTCTCAAGGTGTTCCTTCATGAGGTCAGCATTAATGGAGGGCAGGGGATCTCCCTCACCTGGACCTCCCTGTCCCGTAGCGGGCATGGACGTCCCATGGGACTGATGAAAGACTGATGCAAAGTACCCATTTAATAGGTTGGCTTTTTCCTGGGTGTCAGTTGTCAGTTGCCCCATCTGGTTCAGCAGGGGTCCAATGTTGCCCTTGCTTTTCCTCCGGCTCCCCACATATCTGAAAAAGGACTTTTATTGTCCTTTTTCACCCCCAAATCCATTTTTCCAGCTGCTAAGGTATACCTATCAAAACACCTTGAGTGCTCTTAAAATTTTTAACAGCAGTGATTAACAATATCCAGTAATGAACCTCTCCCCAAAAAACAAGAGCAGTAAGTAATTATCACTCAACCACCTCATCCTACACCCTTAGGCAAAAAGGTGTAACTTTAAAACATGCCCTGAATGTCCATATTTAAAGCCTTCAAATATCGGCAAGTGAATCACTGCTAGATGAAGTAGTAGGCAGAATTAATCAAATCTAGGATAATTTCATTTGTGATCAGGTGGAAAAACTGTTAGCCAATGTTTACATCAGATATCTGATTTCCTTTGAAGATGACAGAGAAGCTTCAAAACTTCAGATTTTCTACTAGAACTTCCTTTTCCACATCTGCCTTTCTGAAACTAAGATGGTGAAAGCTGATCGAATGTTCAGCTAAGCAGGAAGGAAAGTTGTAGGAGACTACTGCTACAAATCAGAAACTGTCAACTATCTTATTTTCAGTGGGGCTTCCTCTACCATTCTCCACCCACATCATACACAATGTTTAGCCTTACAAGACTTAGGCAGTTGCATCACATTTTGTTTGCTTGATATTCTTCCCATGGTTACTGCTCTAGTAAGTCCCCTACAAGCCGAAGCATCGAGAGTTCCAAAAACATTAGGAACATCATACTGGAAGGTACCACACCTGGGTCATGAATCCAGTCATCCACAATTGCAGGCAGCTAAGTAATGGACATTGAGAGCCAGATTCTATTCCATCTATTAGGACTAGGGACAGAAATTAACACATAAACTGTTAAAATGATTTGAAACTGGTTCACATCTGTAACACACCAGAAGTTCAGTGGCATGTAAACTACTTTAAAAATGGCAGAAACTGGTTTAAGATCAACCTGAATGGATGTAGTATCAGAATGAAATGATTTAAGTTAAATGAATTTATTGGACTTCTGTCCCAGATCCCCTCCAAATTCAAGTTAACCGTCCCCCAGCAGATTCCCCCCACAGATTCAACATTTCCTAGCATCCCAGGATACTTTGCACTTCCCTGGTAAACTCCCCACCTCAGCAGGGTGGGTAGGCTGGTTTGGTCCAAGCTGTCCGCTCCAGCTAAGCAGGGAGGTGTACTAACACCTCCAGCTTCTGGCCTGGGCCACTGCAGGCATGTGGCTGCATTTCCGGAATCAAAAGTGATTGTCTGTTAATTTGCTTAATCTGTTCATTCTACACAGGTTAAACTAACCTGTGAAGATTAAATCAATTCAGTGTCAGGATTTTTGATTGTCTGTACTTAGCCTAGGTGTCTAAGTAGACTTAAGCACCTATGTGCTTATTCCACTCTGTTCAAGTCCCTGAAAATTCCTACTGCATCTACTTTAGTACCACATGATCATCTGACCCTTAAGACTGAGTCACAAAAAAGTAGTGAATTGAAGGAAGACTGATACACCTTTCGTATTGAGTTTTTCAGGGACTTGAACAGTGTGGAACAGAATCTGTCACCTGGTGCCTAAGTGCACTTGCACACCTAATAGATGTCATAGAATCTAGCCTCTAAATCACAAGTGGGCAAAATGGTAGATCCTGCCAGCAACTGGAGGCCATTTCCCAGCAGCCTCTGCCCGTGTCGCTGTTGCTGGTTTCCCTGGAGACTCCAGTAGTGGCAATGTTGTGACAGCTTGGGGCCAGGGTTTCCATGGAAACCAGCCCCAGCAGCACTGGTGGGGCATGCACCTGGACAGGGAGCTGGGGATTGCTGGCAGAAGCAGTCTTCCCTGGCACTGGGTGCAGGCTGTGCCCATCGCCAGTCCCTGGTGGGAGAGGCAGCCTGAACCTCCTCTCATCCAGGGTGCAGATCTGGGGGCTTGCACCCCGGGAGGGCTGCCAGGCTGTGCTGGACTCCTCCTGGGGGTGCAAGCCCCTGGATCTGTGCTGGATGAGAGAAGGCTCAGGCTGCAGCAGCAGAAGCAATCTTGTCTGGTGCTGGGTGCAGCCCACGCCTAGCACCGGTCCCAGATGGGAGAGGCAGCCTGAGCCTCCTCTCATCCAGGGTGCAGATCTGGGGGCTTGGGAAGGCTGCAGGGGTGTGCTGGTCTCCTCCCAGGGGTGTGAGCCCCCAGATCTGCATGCTGGATGAGAGGAGGCCAGCAGTGGGCGCAGCCTGGGACCGGCACTGAGCGCAGCCTGCACCCAGTGCCGGGGAAGATTGCTGCTGCTACTGGTCCCAGACGGCAGCGGCATCTTCCTCTCATCCAGCATGCAGATCCAAGGGCTTGCACCCCCAGAAGGAGTCTGGCACAGCCCTGCAGCCCTCTCGGGGGTGTGGGCCCCTGGACCTGTGCACCAGATGAGAGGAGGCTGCTGCTGCCGCCCGGGACCAGCGCTGAAGCCAAGTAGGCCCAGCTTCGAAACTCAAAATGTTTCAAAACTTTTTGAAACATTTTGAGTGCTCTTATTTTGTTTTGATGCTGTTTCAAAGCCTTTTGTGTTGTTTTGATTTCACTGTTTCAAGCCTGAAACACCTCAAAACAGCTTCAAAATGAAACACCCAGTGAAATTTGCACAGCCCTATTGCATATGGTGTTGGACAGTTGATAGGCTTGCAGTAGCTCAGGGTTCTTGAGGCAAGTGCAGGGTCTTATTGAGGACATGCTTTAATATAGATTACAGGGAATTTTAGATGTGTATGAGAGTAATGAGGGCCAAGCTGCTAGCTGTGATGACCCTTTCTGGATTAGATTTCCTTCTGTTGTTCACTCCCCTTCCTCTTGAGCTTTTAATATGCTTACAACACTGTGCAATGTATTATGTTGTATTTAATCATGTTGTATTTAATCAGTTAATCCCATGCTTCAGGGATGCTTCTTGTCAAGGGAGACATTCCCTCCCTGCTTTCTCCTTTGAATGCATAGCTATGCATAACTTTTTTTTTCTTTTTTTTCACATCTTCTTCTGAAGCCTTATAGATTAGCTATGAGCAAAGAGAGGAGATTTGACAAAGGTGGTCTGATGCTTCCTGCGATTCTCAGAAAAGCCTTTCAGGCACTTAACTGATGCGTATTTAGGGGTAATGGATTGCCAGATTTGGGGTCAGGAAGGAATTTTATCCTTGATCAGAACAGAATGGACTGTTTAGGGTATTCTGTCTTCCTCTGTAGTGTGGGACATCGTTTACTTCCTTAGGTTACATGGGTATACATATTGGCAGTGCTCTTCATCTTTTCTGCTCTCTTTCTATGGTACATCACAATGTTTGTGGCCCTTCAGTTCCTAGTTTATTCTAGGGTGTTTGGGTGCTTTATGGTATATGGAAAGGGACAGAATGACTGTTCTTACGGATATTTTCGGATTTAGAGCAGGGGGGAGGCAAAGTCTTGCCCACAAGCCAGATCAGACCTGCAGTGCAGAACACAGAGCAGAGCAACACCCACTTCTGCACTTGATCACTAAAATAGGCCTCCTACCTAGGCATAAAACAACATTGTAACTAGTTTCACAGATCACAGCAGTGTAGATGTCAAAGTCTTGCCCGCAAACACAGCAGTTCGGGCAACTTACCACATACAAGTATTTTTTCCTCTGCACTTCCCAAGGAGAACTAAGCTTCTTCACATATAACTGTAATTCTTAAAAGCTGATTCTTTATCTTTAGTTAATCTGTGCCTTTTAGGCAGATGGACAACCGGAGGCAGAGAGACCATTTTAATATTATTTATCCCTCTCTTCCCCTCTCTTTTCTCTCTTTTTAAACAGGACAATGTGGATCTTGGTGACCTGATGTTTTCACTCTGCTACCTTCCAACAGCTGGTAGACTTACTATTACCATAATAAAGGCAAGAAATTTAAAAGCAATGGACATAACAGGAGCATCAGGTAGGAATTACTCTCATGTTCAGTATTAAAGTGGTGTCCCTGCCCCCTTGACTTAAAGAACTGTCTGGTGTTTCCACTGTTGGCATTGCCATTGTCACAGGGTATGCAAAAACAAATTTTGTTAATACCCTGATCTATGGGCAGTCTACCTAGCTCTCACCCACCACTCCTTGATGTTAGCTAATATACAGGTGCAGGAGGCTGCTCTGGTCTTATTACAATGTTCACCTGGATTGTGGTCCTGTCCTTATGGGCCAGTTGTATCGCTCCATACCTCCTCTACACCATGCCCCATCCCTCACAGATGGCATGCTTACAGATGTTCTACCACTTGCTGATGCAACCCCTCTTTGGGCCTTCTGAATCCTCAGCCTCTCTCAGCCCCACTGAGGGCCCTCAGATCCCTTGGTCTCTCTTGGCCTCACTCAGGTTGTCAGACCCCTCTATCTCTTCTCCAGCCCTCTCTGGGCCCTCAGGCCCTTTGGTCTTACACAACCACTCCCTGGACTACCAGGCCCCTCAGTCTGTCTCCCAGCTGAGCTACCAGCCCCTTTTGGTCCCTCATCCTGGACACTTTTAGATCTCTCCTTCTTGGCCGCTCCCCAGGCCCATCTGGCCCACTCTATTCCTAGTCGCTTGCTAGGCTGCTGGGCCCCTCTGGTCCCATTATATTTGCTGAGCCTCTCTATATGTATCAGGCCTCTCACTGGGGGCCCTTGCTGGGCCTCACTATCCAGGCCCTTGGACCCATTTGGTCCTGCACTCTATTCCCTGGCCCCTCACTGGGCCACTGGACCCATGTAGTCCCCCCGTCTTCCCTGGCCAAGTTATTTTCTGTCGGGATGTGCTCCCCTAGCCTTCCCCCCCCATGAGGTATCCCACAGGGGGGTGGGAGTTGAGACTTTCTGGCACCCCATCCTCGCCTTTCCCTAGAGTGACCCATGTGTGGCATTTCATGGAGACTGGCCCACCACAGGTAGCCCCACCACACTAACCAGCTGCAGTAGGGTACAGTCTCAGGTCTTACCCAGGACCAATCTTCAGGCCTACCTGATCTTACTTGTCTCCCTCTGGGCTTTCCCTAGGTGTATATAACCCTCCTGGGCTGCTAACCACTGGGTCCTCTAACCTTGGCTTCATCTCCTCTCTGAGTCCTTCATCTCTGGCCCCCAACTCAGACCCCTTTCCTTGATCCCTCCTCATCAGATGGCCTAGCAACAGCCTGGGCTGCACTCCCCTTGACTTCTTCCTCTTGGCTGTGGCCACACAAGGACCTTTGGCCTCCCTTAGCCACTCCAGGCTTTCCCGGCTTTAGCAGTCTCTACCATGGTCTGTTTCACCTTTTGGCCCCTCCTGGGCCCTGGCCCCGCACAGGCCAGTTGAGATTCCCAGGGTCAGTATTCCGGCTATCAGCCTTCTCGTCTCTGTGGGTCTGCTCTCTACGACCCCTCCATAGATCACTCCCTCTCTCTGGGGTCACCCTGAGCTCTCCAAAGATCTTCTTTAATTGAGGGCTCATCCAGACCCCTCAATAGCCCCCCCTCCCCAATGCCCCACTTGCTGGGTTCGCTCAGACCCTCCACCAGGTCTCTCAAACACTCAGCCCCTCAGGGCTCACCTGGCTCCTCAATAATTGGCCCACAGACTCTCACCCCTCTCCTAAGGCTTGCCTGGTCTCTCAAGGCCCCTGTGCACTCAGCCCCTCCCTCTCTGGGCTCATCTGGCCTCTCACTAGGCCCCAGGCACTCAGCCTCCTTCTCAGGGCTCTGGACCACCATATTGGGTCCCCAGGAACCTCCGGCATCCCCTCAGTTCCTACCCAAACCTCCAAATATCATTCTCCTTGTTGGCATTCAGAAGCAGCAGCTTTCTGGGTGGGTGATGTTTCTTCACCAATGGGGTTACCATATTTCCAGTTCCAAAAAAGAGGACACCTCACTCCCAACCCACAGCTCCCTGGACCTGCCAGTGCTCCTCACTCCCTACCCCCAGTCCCCCATCCCCCAGGCTATGTCGGTGCCCCTCACTCCTGACCCCCAGCTTCCTGGTGCTACCAATGCCTCACACTTCTGGCCAACAGCACCTCCCCCACAGTGCCACTCCGAACCTGCAGTCCCCCCACTCCTCCAGCCCTGCCAGAGGGGCCCCCGGCTGCCCCTGCCCCAACTGGGCCAGAATGTAGCGGCTGCAGCAGCTCCATCTCCTGTGGGTGGTGGTAGAACGAGTCTGGCCTGGCATGGGCTGGAGGGAGGAGGAGAGGATGCCTGTAGCACCAGGCTGGGGCTCCTGTGCTGCACCAGGTGGCCTGGCTACATCCCCGCCACTAGGCAGCATCTCCCAGGAGCTCCGCCCCAGCGAGCACAGGCGCTGACCCCCAGTACCACTAGCCTAGCCATGTAGTTCCCCTCTGCCCCCAAAGGACCCCCCTCCCCTC